GAGCTTGGGCTGAAAGTGGCGTGGGAGGTGTAGATACTGGCGCCTCAGCTCCGCTTTTCTTCCCTGGACTCCTCGTGGCAGGGAGACTCAGAATATGAAGAAAGTTCAGGTGGCGGCCGCGGCGGTGGCAAACGCGCTGTGTGAAAAGTGCTGTCCTCCCTGAATTTCTTAATATTAGGAGTAGTTCCTAGGGTGGCAGTCTCTTGTAAGAAATATCCTTCAGTGCAGTGACAGAACAAAACAGAAAGACCCCTCAAGAAATGGCAGGGCCCAGACAGGAATCCTTGTTAGCAATTATGCCAAAGAGAAAATACCTGTAGAAACTACATATTATATGCAAATACAAATGATGATTATTTTTGGAGAGAAGTAGACTTTAGCCAGATTGCTTGTGGTCATTTTGATAATCTGACATCTGGGTCTTCAGCACTTTGARGTTCCTAAGGAACTTTGCATTTTCTTTCCTCTTTACCTTGAAGAAATCTGAGATAATGATAGACACATGAAAGATATTTTCACGCTTTCAAAAATAATTGTGTTGTTTCTCATTTAAGAAGGAAGAACAAGATCACTTCTGATAAGGAGAAAAACTCCTCACATTGGATTTTTAAATTATAATTGTTGATCTAGGTTTATTACGTGTGCTTTTGTCTCTATATGTGTTTRAAATGTCACATAATTAAATGTTCTTTATGCCGTCTAAAAAAAGTAAAACTTTACATATGTATACACACACGATATAAATAATATAAGCCTGTTATTTTAAATAAGTAAATACAATGTTAAGTGAAAACTCTAAGATATAAAAATGAATGCAGTAAATATGTGTTCATACATGTTTTTGYATACATACAAAACATTATAATGTTAACAATGGGAAATTGTAACTTTGTTTTTATTTATATTTTCTAAATGTACTATAATGAAAATATGCCATTTTTATAATCAGATAAATATTATAAAAATAAAGAACCATGTTTGCATGATTGTAAAAGTGTACTTAATTTTAAATTCATGTATTTACAGGGGCAATAACTATGGCATTGCTAGAAAACCTGGTGGCAGGAAATGTATACATTGTCAAGATATCAGCATCCAATGAGGTGGGAGAAGGACCCTTTTCAAATTCTGTAGAGCTGGCAGTACTTCCCAAGGAAACTTCTGAATCAAATCAGAGGCCCAAGCGTTTGGATTCTGCTGATGCCAAAGGTCTGTATACTGCCATCGTCCCTGTGATTTTTTCTTAAGGAAAAAAAAAAAAGAAGTTTCAGTTTCCTTATACTTCTTTCAGCTCATACAATTGCCATATCCCTAAACCTACACTCAGTTTGTTAAAATTATTACTGGCGARGTTCTGATGTTATAAGACTGCATAGCTCTTCTTTGTACTCCTAGGAGGCAAAATCATCTCAGAATTAACTGCAGTTTTCAGACCACTATGCTCCCAATCATTTCTTTTCCCAGTTGAGCAACCACCAGGGTAGAGGAGTTGCTCCACCATTAAACAGAAGAGACCAAGCTTCCTGGGAGATTCCACAGAAGTAAACCACAAGGGTGCTTGTGGAGTTCGGTCTCAGAAGAACATGGTTTTCATTAAGAGTTTTCACCACAGAAAAACAGCCTTTGTGGAAAGAAAGTTGTTTCTCTCCAGAAAAGCAATTGAAGAGCCACCCTCACTCCGTTCAGTGCAGCTTTCCACCTGAAGGAAGTGTGGTTCAAGACCTCTCCCTTTCCTCCCCTTCTTTGGAGAAGTAGGGACAACGTTAAAAGGAAAAAAATGCCCGATGAACTTAAGAAAGGATTAAGGATCCTTAGCTCCACAGAAAAATCCTTCAGTGCTGTGTGTGTGTGAGAGAGAGAAGGGCAGGACAGTCTTTTTTAGGAAGAGAAAGGAGGTAGCCACCGTAGCTACCATCTCATCAGAGGAAGGGGAAAACAGGATTCATGTTTGCTTCTCAGATACCCTGTTTAGAGTGATCTAGSAACCAGCATCATGGATATCAGTTAAGCATTAGACATGCAGAATCACAGGCTGCACCCCAGACTTAGTGAACCAGAATCTTCATTTTAGCCTATCCCCTACTGAACCATGTGCGCAGTAAAGTTTCAGAAACCCTGTTCTCATGTGCATAGATAAAAACTACTCTTTAACCTACAAACCACTTTTAAGGCAACATGACATGAAAGCTATTCTTTGTCCATTAAAGAGCATCTGTTTTGTACCTTTTAGTATTGTAAGTTATGAATTAATGTTCATGTTGTATGTAATAATATTATATCTAAAATAGAATCTTTATATTGGAAAACACTTATTTCTAAAATCCTAATAGAAGAGTAATTCATGACTTTTTTGCGTAGATATGGATAATATCAATACTTTTCCTATGAGAGGAAGAGAATTTATAGAAAAGCWAATATCTACCCTGAGAATTAGGATAAATAAAATATTTTTTCCTGTTTGATCTGAGTAAATGTGCTCCCCCTCTAGTTTATTCAGGCTATTACCATCTGGACCAGAAGTCAATGACAGGCATTGCCGTGGGTGTTGGCATAGCCTTGACCTGCATCCTCATCTGTGTGCTCATCTTGATATACCGAAGTAAAGCCAGGTATGTGTCCATGGCTGGAGATGCTGGGTTAGTTTAAAAAAAAAAAAAAAACCCATTTAAATTGTACTAACAATAGGAAACAAATTGAAATCAAGTACCCTGTAGAATAACTGGAATTTTTCCATTTTAAAATAAATGCAGGGTTACTAGGTTCTCACAGCTTAGCATATGCTCATTTTGTGGGATGATTATTTTCTTGCTAGTTGAAAACAATTACTATGCTGATAAAATACTAAATGAGGACCCAGTTTCCTCATTTCCTTAGTATTTTGAGAAGCACAAAGTAAATCTTTGAGATTGGTTTGGGTTTTGGATTTAATGGAACCTTAATCTGGTGTATCTGTTTCTTGAGAGGTTTCTTTATTATCTGGAATATTTCATGTTTAGTACAAGAATTGCCTGAGTCACTAAGAACAGCACAGGACTTATGATTGGGAATCTCCATACAAGGATTAAGACAAATGCATAATGAATAAGAATTAGGGGTTTATCTATAAACTCTGTTAGGCAATTCCATCTGTGGTTTGACTGTGACTAAATTTTCACTAGTAACTTGCCTTTAGTGAATGTGACTATTTTTAACTTTTTATAAAAATTTTGGCATTTGCTTTCATTAATTTTCTGAAGTTTTTTTGTTTGTCTGGTTTGGTACCAAGCATAGAACCCAAGGACATTTAACAACTGAGCAAGATCCTCAGCCCCCTTTTAATATTTTATTTAGAGACAGAACCTTGCTAAATTGCTGAGGCTAGCTTTGAACTCTCAATCCTTCTGCCTCAGCCTCCCAAGCTGCTGGGAGCTCCCAGCAAGATTCTRTCTTTGTTTTGTTTTGTTTAAGGTTCTTTCTTACACAAACAAACAAAATCACAGTCTGTTTTTCAGTAATCTCCCTCAGTTGGCATAGATTTTTCAGTTTGGTACTTTTACATAGAGAGATGACTGCAAAACATATTAATGAAAAAGTTCAAACATCTTTGTGCATAATGAACTGGCTTTACAGTTTTATTGTCCAATTTTTTTGCTTTAAGAACTTTATGTAAAATATTTATGCACATTGTTTTGGGGATGTGTAAATTTTGCAGAAGTGCTACTCTAAATTTACCATCATTAATTGGCAAGAAAATTGCTAGGTTARTGTAACAGTCTWTAGACTTGAAGGGGAAAATATAAGGTAATAAAATTAATTCTGCATAAATGATAAACCACAATAATTGATAATGGCATTTCATAAATATAAGGTTTTTATTGCTTGTAGAAAATAATTTTATGCAAGCAGATGCTAAGTCAAGAAGTGAAGAGATTTCTTCAATTAAAGTTTGCAGCAATGAGTTGGAGTAAAAATCGAATGTTTGGGCCAGGCGCCATGGCACATACCTGTGAGTCCGGTGGCCCAGGAGGATCACAAGTTCAAGGCCAGCCTCAGCAATTCAGCGAGATCCTAAGCAGCTTAGTGAGGCTCTGTCTCAAAATTAAAAATAAAAAGGCTGGGGATGTAGCTCAGTGCTTAAAGTGCCCCTGGGTTAAATTCTCAGTACCAATAAATAAATAATAAAATTGAATCTTTGGTTTCTGAAGATATCTGAGAAATGGGCATTGAAGAACTCAATGGTTTGTAAAGTTGTGATTATGGGCCAAATTGGGTACGTTTGCCTACATCTTCTGTGAAGATAGAAGATTTTGTTTTCTTAACAATATTTCAGGAAATCATCTGCTTCCAAGACAGCACAGAATGGAACTCAACAGTTGTCTCGTACCAGTGCCTCCTTAGCTAGTGGAAATGAAGTAGGAAAGAACCTGGAAAGAGCTGTAGAAAATGAAGACTCCTTAATGCCAATGATTATGCCAAACAACTTCATTGATGCAAAGGTATTGAGCTGAGGGAGGATTTGTTGCATCATGCTGCCCTTGATTCTTTCCTTTAAGTGTAAAATTAACTTACAAAAATTTTATGTTGAATGTATTATATATATATTTCTCTTAATGAAATAGAAGAAAAAGTTCACCCTCAGCAAAAGCGAGGTGCTAAGCAATTCATTGAGACCCTGTCTCTAAACAGAATACAAAAAAAGTCTGGGGAATGTAGCTCCGTTGTTGAGGGCCCTTGAGTTCAATCCCTAGTACCCACCCCCCCCCCAAAATTTTTTTTTACCCAAATCCTTTCTTACATAAAATGCCTGGAAGAAGATGGGAATAGATAAAAGAACCAGAAAGAGAGAGAGAGAGAGAGAAGTGAAAACGTAGCACAGATCAAATTACATGGGATCATATGGTGATGTCTTAAATAGAGGTATCCTGGTCATTAGTCTTTCTATTTACTATATTTGGACTATCCTGTATTTACCAGGTGGACAGTTTTTTATTAATCCATTTTACATTTAGTCTGGTTGATTGTTGAACTGAATTGATTATCAGAACATCCCAAGTCTAAAGAATATTTTTGAAAATATGGAGTATCTAAATAGAAATCTAAAAATCCTACCCTTTGTGGCCCAAGTTAGTTGGATGTAGTAAAGAAATGTCCTTGGAAGACATGACTTAGTATCTTTGCCAGTATATATAATAACGGTAYAGTGGTCAGCATCGTGGACACCACATTGCAACATTAGATATTGTACATTATTACAATATCTCCCATAACCAATGTGCTATAACTACAGGCCAGTATGTTTTTGTGTGGCAGTGCCCTGAACCAAGAATTTTTTTATATTTTTAAAGGGTCATTTTTTTGGCAGGGGGTTGAGAAAAACCCAAAATATTTATTCTTTGACTTTGAAGAAAAGTTCTTCCCTAACCCTTTCTTAAAGTTGAGACTAACAAAAAATATGTTAAATTTTCAGTCAATTTTTATATTAAATTTTATATAATTATACTTAACAGATTCACGTATATCTAGCACAGTGCTAGCATATACAATGTTATGAAGAAATAATACTGAATTGATTTTTGCTACTTCTATTGTCTTGTTTGCATCCATAAATTAGCTAGCTTTTTTTTTTTTGCAGTCTTGGGAATGGAACCTGGAATCTTACAAATGTTAGGGAAATTCTCTCCACTGTTGAACTTTATAACCACAGACCTTAGCTTTTACATTCCAATACAAATCAGGTCTTTCAGCTTATTTCAGATTAATCTAAAACATTAGAATTGAAAAGTTTGAAATAAGTTTAAATAATGGTAAAACATACTGTGCTTCTGTTGTGAGTTTAGAAGTACATATGAGAAAGAGTAAGGCTATGGAGGGAAAAAGGAAGAATAAAAAATGAAAGAAGCGGGGACTGGTGTTGTGGCTCAGTGGAAGAGCACTTGCCTAGTATTTGTGAGGAGGCAGTGGGTTTGATTCTCAGCACCACATATAAATAAATAAAGGTATTTTTTAAAATCTTTAAAAAAAATTAAAGAAGCAGAGCAGTGGAGACCTGAAGTGAGGGAGAGAAACAAGTTTGGAAAATGAACTAATTTTTGTTTGCTGGTTCAGTTGAAAATAAGTTTTGGAATCATTATACTTTACCCCAAATACTTCTGCTTGTGTGTGTCTATATTAGTTTTTGTTAGGTGTTTACAGAAAGTAATTTTATGTAAACATATGTACATCTTAAGAATAACCCATTGTAGTTCTTTTTGATCACTAACAAATGCCCCAAATATGTTGTGTTCTGCCTGAAGAAGTAGTGATATCTGTGATTTTTTTAAAAAACATAAAATTTTTGTGTAATATTTGTGATAAGCTGAAATCTCTAAGACCAAGATATTTACATTTCCTTTTTTTTTTTTTTTTTTTTTTGTCTTCAGGGAGGAACTGACCTGATAATTAATAGCTATGGTCCAATCATTAAAAACAACTCTAAGAGAAAATGGCTTTTTTTCCAAAACTCTAAGAAGATAAAAGTTGAGCAGGTAACCTCTCTATGTGAAAAACATTTTGAGCAACCCATGGTCTATAGAATAATTAAAAAGAGGGGGGGAATGTAATGAATATTTTAATTTCTGTGTTTTTTTATGGATATGATTATATTCATCGGGGCATGTCTTTGGAGAGCCATGGTGAGTGATAACTAAAAGGACAGTTGTAGTAGTAATCAGAGCTGTGGTTTCCATTGGGGAGTGGGAACAATGGGAAAAGGGATAGGTCAGAAGGAAAGGGCATCAAAAAAATCACAGAAGATGCCTGATGCGGTGGCAGTGACCGGAACGGAGAGCTGAGGCAGGAGGATCACAAGTTCCAAGGCCAGCCTTATTTATTTTAGCAACACCCTGTCTCAAAATAAAAAATAAAAGGACTCAGTGATTGAGCAACCATGGGTTCAACTGTATAACAACAACAACAAAAAAGTCCCTGAAGTTTTTAACACTTCACTTGCTGCAGGCAATCCTGATATGTTCTCACCCCTCTGTCAGAAACTACTGATCTAAACATGATGCTGACCTTTGCTTTTATATCAACAGTTTGCTATCTCATTGCTRCCTTGTCTGTTTTTACCCAGCCTCAAAGAAGATTCACTCAAGCTGTCTGCTTTTACCAGCCAGGCACTACCGTGTTAATCAGTGATGAAGATTCCCCCAGCTCCCTAGGYCAGACAGCCAGCTTCCCGAGACCCTTTGGTGTTGCAGCTGACACTGAGCATTCAGCGAATAGTGAAGGCAGCCATGAGACTGGGGATTCCGGAAGGTTCTCCCATGAGTCCAATGATGAGATACACCTGTCCTCCGTTATAAGTACCACACCCCCAACCTCTGATTCCCTTGCTGGCAGTGATTCCGGTGGGGGGCCCCTGATGAGGAAGTGTGAAGACCCCGCAGTGCCACAGGTTGCTGAGCAGACTTCCTCTTCAGCTCCACAGCCACCATCTGCTGTACTGTGCTTTGATAAAAATGAGTTTCCAATCTAGACAGCCATGCTCAGGTATTCTCATCTAAAAGAAGTCTGTTCGAAGGACAATGAACAGGGAGCCAAAGCCTTTTATGAAAATCTTGATATCTTATTGGGTATCTCAGCCTGTTTTGAATGTCTTTTTTTTTTTTTTAACTCATGTATTTTGAATGTTTTATCGTCAGCAATGTGAAAGAGGACAGTCAAGATATTTGACTAGATTATAAAATATATATCACTGGAGCAGAGGGAAGACTTTTAAAAGCCCCTTTGCTGAATATCTACCTCAGTTTGCCTAGTGGCAAACTCTGAAGACAACTTTGTCACCCCCTTGTTATAGTTTGTCTCAGCTACATAGCCAATGATACTTCCTAGTAGCATTTTGTTTTCATTGCTGTATGTGTAATGTATGTGATCAAAGGAGTCATACAGGTAGATGAGTAAGAATGTTTATCTGAAGCTCTGATTTTTTTAATAATTATGACACCTTCATGTTTTGAGTAATTTAACACCTCTGTCTGTGAGGACTAATAAGCTAAAAAGATGTGGGACTATTTAATTTAATGAACAACCAAAGCAAATGCATCTCTTTTGAGAATAGAACTGTTTCAGTAGCATATATGGGTTAATATTGCTTAAAAGGCTGTTGTTACGTTTGGGGCATTAGAGTCTGAGTACTTTATCAGCTACCTTCCACACCTCAGCCTCCTCTAGCTGTGCCTTTTCTACCTTCCCATTTGCCTGACAGTTGGCCAAAGGCTGCACTTTCTAGTTTGCAAAGCATACTCAACTTTTCCAGTATTAGTTATAAAATCCCATGCAGAAGAGAATGGGTTTTCTTTCCGTCTTTTTTCCCCTGTCCTCAAAAATCTCAGTTTATCTTAAAGGGATGAAGAAATTTCATAAAATATTAAGAATGAAGATAAATTAACAGTGGACAATATGAACTTGAGTTATCATGGTAACTGTGCCTTCCAGTATATATTGTGAAATTTTTTGCCTTATACCTTTTTAATATTCATGAAGTTGTTTAGGACAGAAGTACAAAAAGTTGCCTTAAGAGTTTCTTGTATTTTATCAGTTAACTATTTTGACATACAGTATCTTACCAAAGGTTTTYTCCTTAATGTAATTTTTGTTTAGGGATAAATATTCAGAGCTTGACCCACCCAACTTGTTGTTTTCTTTAGTTCTTAGGAGAATTTGGYACTCTCTTAATCTTCCTTCAGTGTCAATACTGTGAATGAAGAATGCTAACTCGTGGAGTGAGTTAATCCTCTTGCTGGTTTGAAATCAGCAAATTGTTTACTTAGCCACATAGAATAGGCCTTCTCTCAGCCAGGAGACAGTTATCTAGACGTGGAGCAGTGGGAAGGGATAAAAATAAACATGATATAGAGAGGGGGCCTATAGCCTTTTAAAAATACTTTTTTCAAATTTTCTGAGTCTCATTTTAAAAGGAATCTTAATGGGTTTCCCCTTGAAACCTTTTGTTTATAAATGGGCAGGGTCATGTTAAATTGTGGTCTAAAAGCAAAGAATTTTGCTGAATAATAGTCCCAGTGTTGTCATCCTAATGACTGATGATAAACATCTTTGGGTTTTTTTTTTTTTTTTAATCCATGGTTGTGTGCCAAGGTGGATGTATTCAGAAGCAGACCAACATGAAGTGCCAGCAGCCATTTCTGAACTAAAGTCAGAGTCCCCTTTAGTTATCTAATATGGGCTTCATGGCAAGACGAGAAATGCAGAGCTTTAGGTGAACAATCTGAGGCAAGAAAAGATGCTGCTCCTGCCTTTATAGCTCCTGTTTTATACTACCTCCTTTTAAAGTTATTCTAGTGTTATTATTATTTTTTTTCCTGTACTCAGGGAACATTTTGTTACTTTTGAGCTGCCTCATGGAAGCATGGGCAAATTGACAGGGTATGGTGTTTTTAAGTTCATAAGTAGAAGTATGTGGGACCAACTTTATCAGTATCTAAAATCAAGGAGTACAATGAGATTGTGTTGCTTTTAAACTAAAAAGGCAAACAGAATCTAAAGATTAAATGTATATCATAATTATGAAGGTATATCTAAGACTATATTAATTTGACTGTTGACTGCTTAAAAAGATGATCTGAAGGAATTGGAGGAACTGCTGTCTTTGAGGAAAGTATTCTGTTTGTTTGGTTACTGATAAATAGGTCCTTAGTTACCATAGAACTTTAGGGTATAACTATTTGCTAATTATTTACCAGTGCATTTTTTACCTTTTCATTTTGTTCTTATGCAGACTTTTTCATAATAACCCTATTACCAAAGAATTTTCAGTAGAAAGTGAAATTTTGATTTAAATTCCCCCCAAATTGAATTAACTAGAAACATCTATAGATATGAAGCATATACAAGTAGTTACTAACCCAGAACAATAGGGTTTATATCGATTGTTGTAGTAAAATAGATTAGTGATGTTAACTACCTTATTGTTACCAGAGCATTTAAAATAAGTTATAATACTTTCTTTACCAGCAGATAGTTCCAAAGTATAATTTTTTTCTTCAGCAAGTTATTCAACTCTACAGTATTAAAGTATTTTTAAATTGTTGAAATTACTTGTTGGAGAGAAAAAAAATCTCTTTTTACCAAAAATAAATATTTTGGTCTCATTGAATAAAATATTTAGTGTGCAGCAAAGACTTCTTTTTAAGTGGCCAAAGCAAGCTTCTTTGAAGTCTGAAGTATGAAATTATAACTAAAATGTTGCATAGTATTATTTCATGGTGTATCAACTCCAAAGGGGCTAATATGCAAATGGTAACTATTTTCTTTCCAAAGATTTATTTGCTGTAAGTACTGATACATGCATGCCATTTTTATGCCAAATGTTACAAGATACTGCTCATCAGTATTTTCATACCAAAGACCATTAAAATATATAGTTTAGCCTGTAAGTAAATAAAGATGAGCAGATTTGAAAATTTATTTAGAGGTGGCTAGGGAATTTAGCTTTAGTAGCAAAAGATATCAAAGGGCTACGTTTACATAATTAAAAGCAATACACAGTTATATTGGTATTTATCAGTGTTTTTAGTCAAGTATTTTATACCAGCAAATTTAAAAGGAAAAAACCAAAGATATTTAAGGTTACCTCTGCATATAGGCAAATTTAGTTGTACATTAAACCCTTGTTTCTAGTTTTTATGTTAAAGAAACATGTGTCTCCAGAACCCAGTCTGTGTACAAATAGCATACATAAGGTCTTTCCATTGACTCTGCTGATTCAGCCACAGGAAGTTTTTGCCAAATGGTGTGATACTTTCTTAAGCACCCAGAGTATAAGATGTCAAAAGAAATATCAGCAAGCCTTTCCATTGCAGAATATTATGGTAACTCCTGAATTAACCTCTTCCTACTTAAAACATCACCTGATTAACTCAGATGGTTTGAGGCAGCCTCTTAGCAATGGGAATATTCTCATTGGCAAACAAGTCATGTCACTGTTTAAGTGGGTTGTGTTGATATATCTGTGCTTTAAAGTTGTTGAATTGAAATTTTGTTTATTAGCTTGAGATGTTTTTATTGCATCAAAGGAGCCTGATTTTCAAACTTCAGGGGAACCTCAGGCAAAGGAAAATAACACACGTGAAATCTGGACTTTCATATGATTAGCCTAAAAGCAGAGACACAAATTTCCCAGTAAACGACTTTAAAAAAATCAGATTTGCCATACCAAGGAAATTAGATCCTTGGTGAAATGCTATACTTTTATTTGCCTTTGCTTCAAACAGAGCAATTCCAGCAATGGGAACAACGACAGTGGTTTGCATGTTTGTTTTGGCTTTGTTAAGGACACCTGCCAGAAACTTGGGCATAGTTGACAGCTCAGGATCATTGTTCACATTCATACAATGATACTTTGGAAATAATTCAGTGTGTCATAACAAGGTGGAATTAAAAGTGTCATTTTTATTTTAAATGCAAGAATACCTAGATATGATCCTGCTTCAACAATGGCTATAGTGATTCACTAGTATACTTTTTTTTTCATTGAATGTAAGTTTTGAATAATGAATGTTAAAAAAAAAGTTTTCAACTATACCAAAAGTCATAATGTTTCTAAGACTAAATGTGTGTTTTGCAGACTTTATTTCTGAGATTTTGCCACATGGATCTCTGATAAAATTGCTTTGGTTTAATAGTCAAAATAACTTTTGCAATCTGTGAGCACAGAGTCATGGGTTTTGGAGACGACCATCCACAACCAGTTGTCTAATTGTTGTTTTATTGATGTTTAGAAGAACATAACCATAGAATTACCTGTTAAGTTGATCTGTGCTCTGGACATAAGATCACACAGGCTAATACAATGTGTGTGTTTTCAGGCTTCAAGCTTCTCAGTTTTCCTTTTTAAGCCCTTGAAAGGTGTTTAAGGTTAACATGACAGCCTCTGATTCTCACCAGAGAATTTATTATTTTTCTAGGTTTTAAAGGCTGTGAACTCCTTCCTCTGTCTTGAAAGCTAGCAGTGCAGCACCTCTTCTGATGCTGCTTCCATTAATTATCATCTCTTTTTTTGACTCCAACAGAGAAAGATTCTCCAATTTTAAGGATTCATGTGATTAGATTGGGCCCACCTTGACCATCTATCCCACTGAAGTCCCTCAGTTTATTCACATTTGCAGAATTACTTTTGACATGTATGGTATCATATTCACAGTTTCCAGGGATTTGAGCATGAACTTCCACAGGTGGTCATTATATTGCCTCCCACAGATAAATTATGTCTGTGGAATTCTGGCCCCTTAACATGTCTATGGTATCCAAGAGATTGCAGATCTGAGGTCTTGTGCCCCTTGGAGATGTTTAAAATTCCCAAGACATAAAAACTGTGACCCTGAAGCTTATCAAAAGTATGCATTAAACTTTCTAAGATACTTGGAAAAACGATTCAGCTTTAAACTTTTTGAATATGTTTTTCCCAAAATAATACCTGAGGTCTGTGGTTTAAGAGAAGGTTTCCTAAATATGTGCCTCTAACTTGATGGAATTTCATCAAAAATTTTTGGAAAGCTTTTCTACTTTTCACTTCAGTGATAATGTTGATGGAGGAGTGTTGGGGAAAGGCCTCAAAAAATAGGGACTCAAGAGTAGATGAACAAGACCAGGCTCAAGTTCACTATTTGCTTTCTTTTGAAAATGCATTCACAACCTGCAGCCTTTCTAACTTGAAGCCCAGTTTCTCTCTCCAGCTTGGACAGCCACTGAATGTTTGGTTTTCAGTTCTGGCAACTCCCACATTCCCAGTGCTCACAGAGGCTTGCCTCACAGCATCTCTGTCTCCTAGAACATTTCCTCTTGTTTGTCATTATTGACTTCAGTTGTCCTTTCCCTAGAAAGCTTTAGATCCCAAAGCTTTAGTTTATTCTAACTGCTGAATCATTTCAAGTCTACCACCTCTTTTGTTTTTGAAGGACAATTTCTAATTCTACC